CACGCAGCGCACAGTCATCTTGTGGAACTCCTTACCTGAGGAGGTTGTGAAGGCTAGGACTATAACAGCGTTTAAGAGAGAACTGGATAAATTCATGGTGATTAAGTCCATTAATGGCTATTAGCCACGATGGGTAAGGAATGCTGTCCCTAGCCTCTGTTTGTTAGAGGATGGAGATGGATGGCAGGAGAGAGATCACTTGATCATTTCCTGTTAGGTCCACTCCTTCTGGGGCACCTGGCATTGGCCACTGGCGGTAGACAGGATACTGGGATAGATGGACCTTTGGTCTGATCCGGTACGGCCGTTCTTATGTTCTTATGTTCTCTACCTGCGTCTGAGTGCTCTAACCTCCAGGCTGTTCTGGGGTGCATTGGTCAGTCTCTCTTGAAAGATTTCAAGAGTGCTTGTTTTTGTTCTGTATCAGAATGAAAAAAATGTCAAAGCCTCAACATCTGTTGCAAAATGGAACTGTTGTCTAGCCTGTCCTCCGTGGCCTCTTTTTCAGCAGTATAAAACATTCCCAAGTCCAAATGAAACCAGTGGCAAAAGTAGTTACCCCACACCTCTGAAAGTCAGGATTTAGGTGTGTTAAATTGCGCAACCAAAAACAGGAGCATCCCAAAGTCAGTTGACATTTGAAAATGTTCCTTTTGGTTCACCACATCTTTTAGGAGCCCAGTTTAAGGGTGTGGCAGATAGTTTGCCACCTCTGAAAAAAAAAACTGGGCCATATCTTTAGCTGTTGTAAACGCTCATAGTTCCATTGACATTAACAAAGTTCACTGATCATCTGCAACTAAGGATCAAGCCCGCTTTGCTAAGTTGTTTACACTGCTCTAATAAGCAAGGTTGAAAACATATCTGGGGATATAGTGGGAGAGGAAGCCTTTTGCTGAAGCACTCTCTCACTGTTGGTGTGCCCCCTTGTGGCTGGGTGTGGTGTAACAGGCTTTTCCCCATCTGGTTCCCCCTGCTGACAGCTGCTTCAGCCCTGTGTTGGGATCTCTTCCCATCACTTGTCCCTTTGGCCATGTTTACTCCTGGGGGAATTCTGCGCCACTGCAACACAGACTTCATGTCCCCCACAGATTTATTTTTTCTCTGCAGAAAATATATTCTGCTTGAGAGGAGCTGCAGTTACAACTTTCACCCACCAGTGGCTGCTGTGGCACCAGAACCGAGAGCAGCTGGCTCACTGTAGCAGCCAGCAGCCAATAGGGAGGAGGAGAGGCTGTGTTTCTCACAGCGCCCTGCCCACAGGGCCAGATGAGGAGGCATATGATAGGGGGAGGGGGACAGACAGAGCAGGGCACACAGGGCTGCTGGGGTGGGTCACATAGACTGGGGGACTGAATGGGACTAGGGGTGCAGAGACACATGGCGATGGGGGGCATAGGGGCAGGGCCACATGGGGGTGGGGATTGGCTGAATGGCGGTGCAGGGATACATGGGGGTGGGGGTTGGCTGAGTGGGGGTGCAGAGTTATATGGGGAGAAGGGGAAGCTTAGTGGGGGGTGCAAGGACACACGGGGATGGAGGGAGGAAGGGTGGCTGAGGTGGGGGTTCAGGGACACATGGGCACAGGAGCAGATGTGCCTGACTGAACGGGAGCAGTTAGCAGTCATCCAGGGGCTGCATGGGGGAGGCTCCCAACTCCCTGGCAACCCCCCCCCCCAAAAAAAAAACCTTGTATACTTCTCCCACCTGCACACAACAACCCTCCAGTTTCATTCCCAGGCTCCTTCCCAGCACTTACTTCCCTCTCCCTCAGCTCCTCCATTACCCCTGACTCCCCCCAGCCTTTGCACTGCTTCTGAGGGGTGCTGGAAATACATTTCTGTATAGTAGTTTAAATGAATTATTACTCAGAGTTCTGTATTAATATGCCTAGTAAGGAATCTCTTTGTCAGAAAACATTTCCTGAATCTTTTTTGTTGTTTGTATTGTTACAGACATACTTGTGGACAGGTATTTTGAAATAATTGCCAAAAT